ATACTGGCCCAGGTTCAGGAAAGGGTCTAAATGACAGCATGATGGATAGAGCTGATCTAATCAAACCATGAGGTACAGGGAGATAGATGGTATCTAAGTAGCGTCAGAGGATGGTAACCTGACAACATCAGAGGGTGGCAACCTGACATGTCAGCAGTGATAAGTAATTTGTTTGTACCTATATATAAAGTGATGTTTTGGGGGGACAGTCTTTGCCCAGCCTGGGGGCAATGGGAGTTTCCCCACTGGTTAAGCTGAGGCCATTGTTGTAAGTACATGTGTTCAGTGATTCGGTAGAGTCTACTGACAACAATTACTGTACTTGCTTAACAATAAACCTGGCTGGGCATTTTCTATCCTTATCCAATTTGTGGTCTTTGGGGGGCTCTCTTGGAGTCTGTGGTGGTCATTGGGCCCACATCATCAAGCACACACGCAAACAGCCTTCTGGTTATCATCAACAATGGAGTCAGAGACCTGTCTGGATGCCACAGCAGTAAATCCTGACCCCTCCTAAATAACTACAGTTAGTAGCTCAGCTACTTCATTCTTTAATTTCTTCAGAGCTCTCAGACCTGGGACTAGTGAGTTGTTTCTCTTTTATTTACCATTTTGTTCCAGTACCTCATCTTTTGATTCCTCCATTTTTGAGTGCGTCTATACTGCCAGACTTAACTCGAAATAAGCTACGCAAATTGAGCTACAGCAATTGTGTATCTTATTTTGAAATAGGGAGTGTCTACTTCTCGTATGATGAGGGTTACAGGAGTCGGAGTAAGAAGTCCTCCAGCTTGACACTATTTTGACACTATTTTGAAATAACTGCATGCTGTGTAGACTGGGACTAAGTTATTTCAGAATAGCGTTAGTTATTTTAAAATAGTATTGCTGTGTAGACATACCCTGAGAGAGAATTCTTCATCTTTATTACATGTTGTAGAACACCTTAGCAGAGGAATAACAAATTAAATTTAATGTCAAACTTTAAGGACATCGGAAGAAAAGGAAGAATTCTAACCTCAACAACCTACTAACTGAAAAAGGCACACTGCACAGATCGATTAGACATGTCCATTCAAACACCACAGAAACTTTAACACACCTGAAAATTGTGACCTGTAGGTAAATCTGAATAAAGCTGAAAAAACTTTAGTTTTCCTGAATGACCATTCCTACAGACATCCTCTATGTGGAAAGGAAGTAGTGAGATAAAAGCAGCAGTACTGCAGTTGCTTCACCATCCCCATGACCCTATCTCTGCTTTCCTCATTGATCCTTCCTCTTACTCTTGCCCAGTCAGTACTTCAGTTTTCAGACTGGAAAGAGGTAATTAATGGTGTCCCCAGAGGTCTGTATTGGGACCAGTCCTATTCTGCATATTCATAAATGATCTGGAGAAAGGGGTAAACGGTGAAGTGGCAAAATGTGCAGATGATTCAAAACTGCTCAATATAATTAAATCCAAAGCAGCCTGTGAAGAGCTCCAAAGGTTCTCATAAAATGGGCAACAAAATGGCAGATGAAGTGTACTGTTGGTAAATGCAAAATAATGTGTATTGGAAAACATTATCCCAACTATACATATAAAATGCTGTTACCATTCAAGAGCAAGGTCTTGAAATCATTATAGTTCTTTTAAAGTATCCACTCACTGAACAGCAGCAGTCAAACAGAATGTTATGAATCATTAAGAAAGGGATAGAGAATAAAACAGAATATCTTATTGCCTCTATATAAATCCATGGTACACCCACATGGTGAATACTGCATGCAGATGTAGTCACTTCATCTCAAAAAAGATATCTTGTCATTAGAAAAAAAAAGTTCAGAAAAGGGCAATAAAAATGATTAGGTGTATGGAACTGCTTCCATATGAGGAGAGATTAATGAGACATTGTCACAAGTACTGGGTATACTCCACTCTCTGAGCTTTAGCCACACTCTTCTTGCAGATGACCTGTGCCAGTGAGTAACCCACTTTAAACGTATCTAAAGTTCCTTGGGAAGGCTCATGTTAATGAGATGTGTGATAACTGCAGAGGATTTAGTCTAAGGACTTTTAAAAGATAGAGACAATTGTCTGAAGGCTCTGCTGATGGAGGCAGCCGTCAAACCATCTTTAGAGACATCCTGCTCCAAATCAGCACTAAGCACTTCTGTCATAGTTCGTAGTGCACCAAAGATACTGTGCCTTTCCCAACATCATTCTCTAACCCTTGTGTCAAGGAAGATGCACAAGAAACAATGCACCAGAAGAGAGCACTCTGTGGTACTGAATAGAGACACAAGGGGAGGTACTGATGTGAGGAGACCCATGCTGGGCTAATCCAACAGAGACATGATCAGCTCTAGAAACCTCAGCAAGAACACGGAGCCTAATTCAGGAGCCACCTCCAACTCCTGGGATCAGTTGTGGTATCTTGTGCTTGTGGGCCTCCTTGATCTCAGAGGCCTTCCCTTCTGATACCGCCCATTCTTCAAGGACCCATACTTGCCAAGGACACTGAGGACAGAAGGGCATAAAGAGCAGAGAGACCTTTAGTGTCACCAGTGGATAGGTGCTCCTTCCAGGAGGAATCTCTGCACAGCCCTGCTTCAGCAATTCCTTACCTGGCATTGGCCATCAAGCCCTCAGCACCACCTGAAGATAGAATTTGTGCACAGTGCCTCTATGGTCTGATGTAGAATATTTTTCAGAGTCTAAGGTGGAATCCTTTGTGCTGCAGAAGAAGAATCACTATCTAATGCACACACCAGAATTCAGCACCTGTGATACAACTGCTGCTTTACCATCAAGTTACACATGCACTGATAGTATTGGACCCCAGCACAAGGGCCCCTTCACGGCTATCATATGCAGTTGTATCTGAGAGACAAACCCTAGCAGTATCCCACCCAGAATCAGATACTGATCATGGCACTGACACCTGCACTGAGGTCATTGAAATGGGACAGATGGAAGAAGCAGAGGCTAATGAGGAAGTACCAGTACCTCCAATAGTGTTAGCTTCCTCATTGTCATTAGAGTAGGGAGTGGTAGATCCCTGGAACCCACTCCCACCGAATTTCAGTGCTCACCAGGAGCTCCTGACATGGCTCACCACAATTTTGGGGCTGGATGTGTAGGAACTAAAATAGCCCACCTGTAGCGTAATGTATATCTTGGCAGCAATGGTTTCCTCCAGAGTGGCCCTCCCAGTCAATGAGTTGGTATTGGGACCAGTGAACACCCTTTGCCAGATCCCCCTCCTCTCTGCTTCTGCCTCAAAAAGGATAGAGGAAAAGTACTATACGCCAGCCACTGGATTTGAGTTCTTATATTCCCATCACTCTCCTGGGCCCCTGGTGGTATTGGCAGCCAACACGCAGCACAGGAGGGCAACAGACTAGATTTCTTTGGGAAGAAAGTTTATTCCAAAGGCATCTTCCAGCACCATATTTCTAACCAGCAGGCCTTACTGTGAAGATATATTGTGATGAGGTAGACAAAGCCCAACATCTCTGCTGGAGGCCTTTCAGCACCCTGGCTAGCAGCAGTAGAGATGTCCTCCAAGCAGAACAGAGGGGCAGCCTCTGCTGCAGCCAATCAGGGTGCAGTAGGCTGATATAAAAGGAGCTGCTAGGTCAGGGCCTATCAATTCCTTCCTGGAGCTTGATTCAGGCAAATGGGGGAAACACCAGCACTCTGGACAGCTCCAAGTGGGAGCTGGGGCATGGTACCTGGTCAGAGCCAGGTGCTGTGGCTGAAGACTAGCCAAGAAGCTAAAGACAGCCTTGCAGAATCCTGGATGAGGGCGAGTAGAGACTGTAAGATTCCCCCCAGACACCAAGGGGCATTCGCCCGAAGGGTGGAACTCTTTACATTGGTGACCGAGTGGAGTCTTAGTCTCTACTTGCCTGTCTGCGGTCAGGGCAGTGTCCAGTATGTGGCCAGAGATCAGGCCTTCTTTTCCCCTCCCACCCCCAGGTGCAGTTTGCAGGAGGGTTGGGAGGACCCAGGCCCACCACTCCTCTGGTTCCCACCCCAGGGACCCTATAAGTAGCAGTTACCTGCTGAATTTCAAAGTACTTAGTTGCTGTCACGTCCCTGGGCCACTTCCGCGGGATGCTGTTCCATCTAGCCTTGCTCTAGGACCTTGTGGTTGAGTTCCCCTTGTCCAGGGTTTTACAGGGTTGTGTTTGTCTTCTTGGCTAACCTTTAGCCACAGGACCTGGCTCTGACCAGGTACAATGCCCCAGCTCCCACTCAGAGCTGTCCAAAGTGCTGGTGTTCCCCCATCTGCCTGAGTCGAGCTCCAGGAAGGAACTGACAGGCTCTGGCCTAGCAGCTCCTTTTATATCAGCCTGCTCAGTGCTTTTTTTTTTTTTTTTTTAAGGTGCAGGTACTCCAGAGGAAAAGTAGTTGAGCTCTGACTGAAGGTGCTGGTACTGTGTCTGGAGGTGCCGGTACTGTGTACCGGGCAGTACGGTCACAAAAAAAGCACTGAGCCTGCTGCACCCTGATTGGCTGCAGCAGAGGCTGCCCCTCTGCTTTAGATGGGATTGGTCCTGCCTTGGGCAGGGGGCTGGACTTGATGACCTCCTGAAGTCTCTTCCAGTTCTATGATTCTATGACCTCTTTACTGTGCCTGCTGATGGCCAGGGTGCTGAAAGGCCTCCAGCAGGGATGTGGGGCTTTGTCCACCCCATCACATATATCTATATTTTGTTGGACATGTTGGCCAAGTTCAAGGACTCCATGCCGCAGGAGTTTTCAAGTATCTCAGAGAATTTGGGGGAAGTGCTGGATAGGAGGAGCCATGGTAATCTTAGTTTTAGCATATAGTGTTAAAAGTCCAGCTACCCAGTGATCAGTTTACCCAGCAGTATTTAAAATCTTAGTAGGAATAGTCCTTTACTCATTCATGCAGTGTGAAATCCTCTGAATGATAAAGTGTTATACATAGTAATAAACAGAACTATTGATTTTAATTCTATTAAATATAAAACCAACTTGATACAAATATTCAATTAAGGGAAACAGTTTGAAATAGAACTTTAATTTTAGAAAGTTAATATGCAATGTACAATATTTTGTTATAAGATTATCAGCTTGATTTGTTTTGCATTCATACTGACAGAACAAAATTAAATTCTGAATTAAGCATAATACTGATTTGTAGTGATTTAGAAAGTATAAAAATGATAGCTGAATCTTGCCTAATATCAGTAATTAGTTATAGCTGTTGGTAGACAAAGACAAATACAGATAAATGGAAACTGGTACTTTCCATACCAGTTACTATATAACTTGAGTATTATGTCATGTCAAGTTGGCTTAACTAAAAGGAATACCTGAAAGCATATATATTTTTTGTGCAAATGTTTATCAGCTTTGAACAGTTAATGTTGCATAATCTAGAAATATGCAACAAATATGCTTGGCACTACACTTAAATGGAATGTATTGTCATATTCCTCTCTAGAAAGGGCAACAGCAATGGCAGATAGAGAACCTTCTACAGTTATTAGAGGGTGGCTACATGGATATCCTGCTTATTTACAAGCACCAAGAATGTTCTGCTGTGCATTTCTTTGTCCATAAATACTATTTTTTGTTATAAACCCAAACCCAGCTCCCATTTTGTCAAAGATTTACATTAACAATGGTTTCTGGCCAATAGGAGTTGCAAGCGCAATGCTTGCAGGTGCAAGCAACACACGGAGATCTGGTGTCCCCTTTTCCGCAAGGGGCACACAGAGACCTGTTTGCCAGCAGTAACCAGGGGGCTTTGAACAGTATGGAACCACCATAGCATGAGTGTCCCACTGAGGTGGCACCTAGCTGACAGCAATGTTAAGCACCTCCCGGCCAGGGCCAATACCCTCACCTCACGCCCCTTCTACACCCAACCCTGCACCCAAACTCCCTCCTAGATTCTGTACCCCCTCCTACATTCCTGCCTTAGGTCAGAACATCCTTCTGGACCAAGTGCACTCCAGCACCCTGTCCCACCTCCGACATGCCTGCCGAGGTCAGAATCCTTTCTCACACCCAAACTTCATCCCAGACCCCACATCTGCTCCCTTAATATAAAATTGCAGCCCATGACCACTTAACATTCTTGAAAAACTTGTTGCCCACCCCTATTCTAAAACATTGTATATAAATATAACCATCAATTTGAAACTGTTTAGCCTTTGGCTGAATTAATGATCAGATTTAAAATGTAATAACTTTTCATGAAGCAGACTACATTTCTTTCCACATAGATATATTAATTTGGAACTAATTTAGCAAGATCCCAATCCCATTCTTATCAAAGTCAATGGGGAGACTCACAGGCTCCAGCTGTAGATCCAAGATTTTGTGATGCACAAGGCTGTATATATTGATCTTTTGTTATGAATGGATCAACTAGAAATTTAGGGCCCAATTCTCTTTTACACCATAGCAGATGCAAGGTGAAATCACCAACAGGGAGACTTATGGAATAGCTGCAGGCAGTTTAAGCTAGGGAAAACTGTATGTTTGGTTCTGAAGGACCAAGCTAGTTGAAGCCCCAGTGCTACCCATTGCCTTTTAGACAGATCATTTGACATAGCAAGCAAATGATATGACAAACATTGATCAGGTCTGTGATGGTATCACAGATGAGGTGCTAGAGGCCAAGGATCAGAAGGAAGGAGGAAGGCCCTGTAGCCAAACCAAGATAAGGGTAGCGAATTCAGAGACCAGAAAAAGAACTGCAGTTCCTAGCTGCAAAGGCAGAAAATGGACTAATGGTCAAGGCATTGCACTGAAAGGGACAAACTTTGAGGGACTTAGGAGTGTTTCTGAACTTGACGTTGACATGGTCAGTTCAAAAGAGCTTCAGCAAAGTTACCTCCTTACGAGAATGACTTGTTGTGCTGGTGGCCATGCTATGGACCTAGGTGGAAGTGTATTTTGCTTCATATATCTTTCTGTTCAGGAAGAGGTTAATGTTTATTGTAGCTCAATGTTTATAACAGATCAATGTGAATTGCAGTATTCTGTTTCAATAAGCCAAGCAAATAAATGCTGTCCTAGAGTATACTTGTGCCATTTAATTTAACAGATAACTAACTAAACCAAAATTAAATATGAACATGACAAATGGATTAATTTTATTTAAACATGAATATGACTTGAAGGTGTTAATAGCTTTTCAAGTCAAAATGTGTATGCACCGTCTGAGAAACTGTTTGCAACACTGTACTTCAATGTAATGCTCACTTGAAATTATAACACAATTAGCTAATAATATGTGATTTATAAAGTAGCTAAAAATACCATAATAGATGTAATGTTGTACACCTAAAACATACTTTGGGATGTAGAGAAGAATTTATTATCCATTTCAGTCTCAGCTTCAAACTGAGGAATAAAGTCAGTTGTCCTGAACTGGGTTTATGATATGGACTTCTGTTTTAATAGTTTTTTCACACTCTATCTTTACTACTTCCACTTTGGGGAAATATACTTCTCTGAATTTCTAGTCCATTTCCCTAGAGTTACAGCAGTGACAAAATATAAAGTGAATTTAGTGTATTTTTTATGTTTTTATTCTGAAACAATTTAGGTTCTAAGGAAGGATACTTTTAAAGAAGCCATAGCAAACCCCCCAGCTTATTGAATTAATGAGATTCTCTTCTAGCCTCATAGTCCAACAAACTGATAGATCGAAAAGGGATAGAGTATGAAAGAAGGCAGGAAGATGCTTCAGTTAACATAGTAGATCCCAACCTTTTCAAGGATGCAGACCCCTTTTCAGTTTATTAAAATTTTATACACACCCCTAAACAATATAGCTGTGCCTGCAGCCAACACATCCCTCAGCCCACGCTGCTTCCTAAACAGCATCCCTCAGCCTGCTGAGGAAGCAGCATGGACTGAAGGGCATGCTGGCTGCCAGCACAGGGCCTCTCAGCTGAGAGGCTGCGTGCTGGCAGCCAGCAGATTCTTCAACCCCTGCTACTTTCTGAGCTGCAGAAAGCAATGCGGGTTGAAGGACGTGCTGACTGCAAGAGGCTCCACATGTGGGACCCCCTACAATACTATCCCAGACCCCCAGGGGTCTGTGGACCGCAGGCTGGAAACCATTGAATTAACACATTCAAAACTTGATTAACACTGTGATGTGTAAGAAATAGCTCTATCTGACACTGTTCTTTGAAAAATTACAACCACTATTTCCTTTTATACTTCTTGTTCCAACGCTTGTAGTTGGCAATGCAAGGACAATTCTCACTTGCATTCCCCTCTGTCTGACAGTTCAAGGCAATAATATAGTATAGGCTCTAGTTGAAAACTAATATCTGAAAGTTGAGTTTTGAAAAACATCCAAAATCAAAGATAGTGAGTGATTAGCCACCTTTACAACTCATAAGGCCAGATTCTCAGCTGGTGTAAATTGGCACAGTTGCATTGAACTTAATGGAGCTCCACTGATTTATGTCAACTGAGGGTCAGCCTAGGGTCACTCTAGGAAGCACTGAAATAATATAACCTCACTTTGGTATGGCAGTTTCAATCAAGACTGTCATGCCCTTTTGCCTGAGAACATCGCATTGAACAATTTTAGAAGAAACAATGAGCACATCATTTACAGCCCAAAAAGGGAGAAAATTAGGAGTGTTATTTCTGAATAAGTTATCTTACTCTGTGTGGAAACTTATATTGAGGAATAAGTGTATGATTGGGTTGTTACCAACATGGAGAGGAACATATCAGATTAACAAATAGCAAATAAGCAGTTGATCCTGCTGCACCGTATTCAGATGCTGGCCTGTGCATAAGCATTTTGGATGTTTTTAATGTTAAATATTCATATGGTCAACAGACATTAATTTTTTTAGAATAGTGGCATGAGTTCTCAATATGGAGCATGAAACAATACACAAGTAATGGATATTTTGCAGAGAAATATATTACATCTGTACACTAAGGGCTGTGTCCTGCAAACCTATAACTATACAATCAGTCCTTACTCACACCAGTAATCTCATACTGGGCTTAAATTAAGGCTAATTAAATGACTAACAATTTACAGTATCAGACCTAGAAGCATTACAAACATTGTGAACATCGGATTTTCAGCTGTTGTATTTACCATATTCTAGATAATTGCATTTTTCCTTACAATTACCAATATTTACTGTGGAAATTTATTCTCACTAACACTTTCTTCCATTGCTTTCATATTTAAAGAACACATGACCATGTATTTCAGTGGCTCTTGTTCCTTTTACTGCATTAGGCAGTTGCTAGCCTTATCTGGGTCTTCTCCATCAAGCCTGATCCACTTCTTTTCAATTTCAATCTATGGTTAGAAAATATACATGTACAACATTAGCAAATGATTAGGTAGTAGAAGTCTGATCATGCACTATTGAAGTCGATGGGATTTTTGACAAGGACATCAGTGGTGCAGAATCAAACTGTAGAGGTTGAGGCCTGAAACATAGGATTCTAGATCCAATGGATTTCAAGTCGGCCACATGCAAAATTTGTTTGGTGGGGAAAAGGGAAGTTGATTTAGTAAATCTGGTTTAGGCCCTATCTTTAAAAATCATGTGTTCAGCTCAAGGATATTCTTTTATTAAATAATTACTGTATTAAAATCCATTAAGCCAATAAATACATGCAAGATCATATGCCTAAAATGTAAGTCACACTTAGACCAAGTCTGCATTGGCACTTTACAGCACTGTAACTTTCTGGCTCAGGGATACAAAAACACCTCCCTGAGCACAGTAAGTTACAGCACTGTAAAGCACTAGTGTGAACCAGGCTACAGCACTGGGCGGTGCCACACTCACAGCACTGTTAGCTACTTCCCTTGCAGAGTTGGTTTACATAGCGTGCTGGGACAGATCTCTCCCAGTGTTGCTGCGGCTGCACTTTACACTGGTTAAGTGCAGACAAAGCCATACTAAATGGTTGTCTTCACTTACCCTGAGATCAACGCTCCAGAGTAACAGTGAAATTTCAGAGGTAAAAAGTCTGAAAACATGAAATTGACCAAAATGCACGGTGAATTTGGTAGGTTACTAAAGCCAGGTCTACACTACTGGGGAAAGTTGACCTAAGATATGCAACTCCAGGTATGAGACTAGTGTATCTGGAGTCAACGTACCTTAAGTTGAACTTCTGCAGTTCCCACATAGTGCTGTGCGTCTTATTCATCAGGCATAACAGACTCTCCTGTTGACTTCCCTTACTATTTGCGACCCAGTGGAGTACTGGGTACTATCAGCAGTCATGTTAGCCAGTCCTTACTAGACTCGCTAAAACAAACTCCAGGGGTATGTCTACACTACCCCGCTAGTTCGAACTAGCGGGGTAGTGTAGACATACCCCTGGAGTTTGTTTTAGCGAGTCTAGTAAGGACTGGCTAACATGACTGCTGATAGTACCCAGTACTCCACTGGGTCGCAAATAGTAAGGGAAGTCAACAGGAGAGTCTGTTATGCCTGATGAATAAGACGCACAGCACTATGTGGGAACTGCAGAAGTTCAACTTAAGGTACGTTGACTCCAGATACACTAGTCTCATACCTGGAGTTGCATATCTTAGGTCAACTTTCCCCAGTAGTGTAGACCTGGCTTTAGTAACCTACCAAATTCACCGTGCATTTTGGTCAATTTCATGTTTTCAGACTTTTTACCTCTGAAATTTCACTGTTTTTTAATTGTAAGGGTCCCAACCAAAAAATAGAGGCATGGGGGGATTCACAAAACTGTTGGGAGGAAGGAGAAAGGGATTTCCACTCTTACTTTTGCATTGCCTTCAGAGTTGGGTGGCCATAGAGCTTCCTGAAGTCAGAGGAGATACCATCTGGGTTTGTTCTCCCTCCAAGAGTGGCCATGGAGGAGAAGAGGTAGTCCTGTCCTCCCACAGCCCAGTGAACTGGCAACTGGAGCTCAGTGAATGATAGGAGTCCCAAACTGAGGCACCCATGGCCCTTTTCTCCTTCCCCTCCAATAGCTACATTTCACAGGGGAGGTCCGATTTCACAGTCCAAGCCATGTTTTTCATATCCATGTATTTGGTAGGGTGCTACACATATTTTGTAAACAGCGTGCTATGACAAAAAGACTGAAAAAAGCAAAGTGAAGAATACCTGGCAGCTGTAGTAAGTTTTCTGGTTCAAATGTTTCTGGGGTTGAACATCACTTTCTATGCCCAGTGATTTTACTTCAGTCCCTGAGGCACATGTGTCAAGCATGACAAACTGTACAGTAGCAAATGGATACCAGTCGGAAGGTATTTCCTGGTCTGATCCAAGTTCTAATTTGTAAGACAGACTGTGTGGATGATCTGGGCCTTTGAAAGGAAAAATCACAGTTCATTATTACAGAATTAATTATAATAGATATAAGTATTTTCTCTCCATTTTTATGAATTTACATTTCTCAGTGGCAGCCACTAAACAGGGAGGATAAAACCAGATATATGTGACAGTAAAGGAAAAGATTATGTGCTTAGCATTATTTGTCATGTGAGTGTCTACACCACATAGTACACTATATTCACAACTTCATCAGCAATTCATAAAGCAAAAATGGACTTTTGGAAAAAAGTAGTCAAAGCAATTACTTGGAGCATCCATGCATTGTCAGATGGCAAAGGAAAACTGATTTACTTGTCCCATATACAATAGGAAGAAGGGAAACAAAGAGACCTTTATTTTGTAAAAGTAATCCCCGTCATCAGGAAAAAGAGTTTCTCTCATTAGTTTTGAATATCTATTACTTGTAGAGCTGTTGATTAATCACATTTAGTCAGACATTCCTCTAAAGACACATATTTTCAGGAGGTTTAGTTTGGTGAGTACACAATCTAGCATGAAATTTGACATGAACTAGGATTCTCAAGTTACAGTGGTGAGGTCTAGGTTGGATATTATGAAAAGCTATTTCACTAGGAGGGTGGTGAAGCACTGGAATGGGTTACCCAGGGAGGTGGAGGCATCTCCATCCCTAGAGGTTTTTAAGTCTCGGCTTGACAAAGCCCTGGCTGGGTTGATTTAGTTGTGATTGGTCCTGCTGTAGCACGGGGATGGACTAGATGACCTCCTGAGGTCTCTTCCAACCCTCGTTTTCTATTATTCTATCTCTCTCCATCTCTAGTCCTTTTTCACAGCTTGAACTGAGCTTCATCCTCAGCACCCATAGCAACTGCTAATGTTGCAACTCCATCTCTTTTCCCTTACCAACTGCTCAACAGTCCCTCGCTCAGTGCCACCCCTCCATTTCCTTGGGGTCTCTCACTGAAAGCAGAAAGATTGTTTGAATGGCTGGAAAGGTAGAGAAGGGGAGTGCCTGTCACAAATCCCAATTACTCTTGCACATAGTCAAAAGCAGAGAGTCTGGAAGGGGATGTCAGGGAGGTACCATAAATCATGAGTACAGATCAAAGCCAAAAGTTAGGTACTTCCAGTAGAAAATTACTTCTCAACCCTGCATACCTTACTACAGTGGTTCCCAACTTGTGGTTCACAGACCTCCAGTGGTCCGCAACAACACTGCAAGGGGTCTGTGGAAAGTTTAAAGTAAGGATTGGGCCCACCATTATGGGCCCGATCCTTACTTTTCTTTTCTTACTTAGGGATGTTAAAATTAGTTTAATCAACTAATCAAACAGTCGATGGAATTTCCATTGACTATTCAATAAGGGCGCTTCTGCTTTTAAATGTAGCAAGAGCCGGCCTGGCTGTTGCTACATTTCAAAGGTGGAAGTGCCATCCTGTGTTCCTCCCTTGAAATGAAAAAGAGAACCATTAGGGGCTCTTGTGCATTTCAAAGATTGAAACACCGCATGGATGCAGGGGCCAGCAGGGAGTGCCCTGCTGATCCCGGGCTCCATGCAGCACTTCTGCTTTGAAATGTACAAGAGTCCCTGTGAGGACTCTTGTACATTTCAAAGGTGGAATGCCACTGCTGCATCCCTGTCCCCTCCCATGGAGCTGAAGCTGGGGGAACCGGCTCTTAAGACTCCCTCCCTCCAGGACTCCCTCCTTCCCTCCCCCCTACTGCCTCTTTTTGATAGAGGCAGCAAGGGGGGAGCAGCTGGTCAATTAGTTGCTTACATCCCAATTCTTACTTTTCTTTTCCTTTTCTTTTTTTTCCTCCCCCAAGGGGTGGTGTCTATACAATTTTAATAGATTGAAAAAGGGTCCATATACTCAAAAAGATTGGGAACCACTGTCTTACTAGAATCTTCTATGTGGCTGGTATAAGATATATTTTGGGCCAACTGTAAAAAAGGCTTCAATAGGATATGGCAAACTAAATAAGCTAACAAGAATATTGTCCATATTTAACTTTTTTCACTTCTGGTGGGTGGGTGAGGAGGGGAGGTATATTTACTAGAAATCTATTTGTACATTGTTTTGCCAATGTCATCAGTACATTTATTAAGAGACAGAATACATTGTGATTCAGTCTATTCTACTCCCATCTTCAATGTGTAGCACTTTGTAAGAAAGGAGCTATTGTAAAAAAAAAAAAAGTACATTTTAAAGATATTTCAAAGAGTAGACCGTGCATATGCAGTCCACATCGTGGTTGAGGCAATTTAAAATGTCCTTCTTTTATGTGTCTATTCTGTATTTCCATTACAAGTAACTCCCCATACACACACACACACACACACACACGGAACATTTATCATCCTAATTATTTTAAACCATGAGCATGCTTATAAAGGGCTACAGATAAAGGATATAAAAGTTAAAAATGAAAAAGAACTATTTTAAAGAGTTTCTTAAAACCAGTTTAGAATTTAAACTTTTGAGAGATGGAGGGTCTAACAGAGAAGGCTGTTGGTTGGAGGAAGTGACTTTGTACCAAAATATAAAGGAAAACTGATCAGCATAAGAGAAGAATCAGGCTCCTCCAGTAGAAGAACTTTATAAAAAATACTATTTTGATCATGCAGAATATATTTACTTGAATTTTTATCCGGAAGTCTGTCTATCTTCCACACTACAGCCCTATAGGCACTTTCATATTTTGCTGTTCCAATTGAGACCTGAATTACAGGATCAGATTCAATTTCATTTAGAGAACCAAGACATGTTTTTCTGTTCATTTTTGCTTTTAAAGACTTCTGTCTTTGGAGATTTATGGTCCAAAGTGCTTTGATCCACTGTAAAGGAACTGGAAAGTGTATCATGACATTTTCACAATATTTCATGGAATGCAAATGTACAGGAATCAGAGAAGTAGAAGACATGTTTATAAAAGCCTGAAGTTCTATGTATGCTCCCTGAACAACCACAGTAGCCTTTAAAGAAAATGGAAGTTCTTGTCCATTATACAGTGTCTTGAAGCGCATTAGTTCTAATCTACAGGCGTCCAGGGGTGTAAACTTAATAATTCTGGATTGCTCAAATTCTTGTGTTTTGACACACTTATGGAAATGGTAATCAAGAATATGAATCCATTTCTTCTCCCGATCTTTGTCAAAATACTGTTCATCTCTTTTCTGGAGCTCTAGATCATTTAAAGTCAAAAAGCATTCAGTATTGCCATTCACAAAACACATACAATAAATATGTGTGATGACAGCACTTTCTACAAGTTTTCCTTCTGCTTTAGTGATTTTTCCCCAAAACTTATCCACTATTCCTAGTATCATTTCTTGTTCCTCATAATTTCTCTTTTGTTTACAAATGGCAGGAAGATTCATGAACTCTTCCTCAACTGTTTCAAGGAAGTTAGTGAAGTCACTGTAATCCATGGTTCCCAACTTTAGCATCTGTTCCACCTCTGGTTCATGGATCACTTCTGCTTTGGGATGGTATTTTCTTTTTTCTGAATAAGACACATATTCAATCTTCACGGTATGGATTTTTCCTGAAACACTACAGTTTTCTAGCTTGGGTTCTGACAGTTTATAGTATGGTTGGAGCTGGAATTCTTTGAAAGGTTTTTCGAGGCCCTTCTCATAATACATTTGTAAAATGCCTCCAGGTACAACTTTAAGATAAATAGGACCCCATTGCCGAGATGACATCATATTCTTTTTCTCAGGAATTCTCAGCATGAAAGGCCAACCATCTTTTTTCTGGCTTCTGAAGAGACTGTGTGGAATGAAAGAAAAGATATTATGCCATGCATGTGTGCTAGAGGCAGACAGCCTTCCCAAAGTATCAGTTTGCAAATGTTCAAGCCTTTCACGGGTATAACTGAAGGAATCCTGATTGAAACTCTTCTCATCATGGCAAGTGTCCTTTTCTTTAGGATGGCAAATACTTCTACAAAGCTTTTTATCTTTACTTTGTGTGTCATCATTGTAGGGAGACATGCTAGTTGAACACCTTTCTTTCCAAAATAAATTTGAAAAAGCACAGTCATTCTGAAAATATTGGAAGTGTTCTGATTCCAATGGATCTTCTAAATTATTGGAGTTTTGTTGGCAAATAGGATTTACTTCATCTGGGGTTGCTTTTTTAGAGACTAAAATCGTATGTGGATTATCATTAGCTGCAGTGTTCAGCTTCTGAGAAGCTGAGGAAGAACGAGCGCCAGGTGGTGGGTGAAGATTAATGTTTGATGACAATTCAGAAATAGGGCAAAGGATGTGAATCCCTGATGTGGGCATATAGAGACATGCTGGATAGTCTTTGGTAGGTGTAGAAAGTGAAGAGTTACTAGGAGGTTCAGGACTTGAGTAGCAGTCAACTTTAGGAGAAGAAAAAGGAATGCTGCTTGAGGAAGATGACCTATTTGATGATTCATGCGCATTAGCAAGATTGAAATTAAGACTGTTTGCTTTACAGGTATCATGATTTTCCACTGATTTCTGAGGAGATTGAAAGAGGGGTTCATCATCAAAAGTGACCCAGTTTGCTGGATTTGTGGAGCACATCTTGTAGTAACAAACTTGAAACACTTTTGCACGTATCACCTCTGAGTCATCTGTAAGAAATAAACACAAAATAAGAACAGACATGATCAGAAATAAAATGCAATTTTTTTTAAATAAAACATAACATTCACATTTCATAGTGCCTACATTTTCATGAACATCCAATTTTGGGTTCCTAAATTTCTGGATGTACAACTTGAGTCACCTAAGGCTTTATTTTTCAAGTACTGAATACCACTCAAAGATCTCCAATTGCTGTCTCACACTGAGACCCAAACTTAGTGGACAGCTCTGAACATTTGATATATATACACACATATTTCTAAGTGGAGGTGACAGAAACACCTATTAGTAAGGTTGCCTAATGTTTTCCTCTATAAGGCTCTGTTATCTATTGCAAATTAACTGAGCACAAATCTTCCATGCTGAGTATCTGCCTCCTGATGAATTTTTTGGGAATGTTTCAGCAAAAATGTTTCCAAGATGGAGGCTAGGGAGAAAATACATTGCTTTGCCCATGTTAAAAAAATCTTGATTGCTTGCTATTTTGCATATATGAAAGAAATTTGATTTTCACCTTAAGCCTTTTTTGTTTCTGAAATTTCATCCAAATTTGGCTGAGGAATAAGTCTCTGAAAATATACATTTACATATTTCAGAACTTCGTTGTGGCTGACAGAAAGAACATTCCATCTGTACTGAGCTTGATCCACCCCCAAAGAGCTGTGTATCAAAAACAATTCACATGCTCCAACAAGGGGCTGAGAAGGACTGAGCCCAGGGAGATGCTGCACAGGCAGTATGGAGGAGGAGGAGGAGGAGGAAGAAACAATCAAACTCAAATGCTTTTGGTTCCTATAGAAGAAAAGGATAATGAAATTAAAGACTGTCACACAACATAATCACAAGGGGAAATTTTAAGGTTGGATAGACAACTTGAATTCTGTCATTTCTGTCAACTTCTGAGTGCTAGATTTTATAAACTTAAAACATTCTTAATATAGGCTATGTCTACACTGCACGTTTGTTTCAAAATAACTGTTATTTCAAAATAACAGAGTGCTGGTCTACAGAGCAAGCCCATTATTTCTAAATAACCTGCTTTTGATCCTGATCATTTGTTGGAAGCATCCCAGATTTACATCAAGCTGCTCCCGAAGCTACAGCTCAACTCACTAATCTGGATTTGGTTATTTGAATATTGTTAATCACTTTTCTTGCCATATGAAAGGAGAAGTGGTAGAGGTCTCACAGGACTTTCACTGAAATTGTCCTCACCACAGGGGGCCACAACTGTGCAAGACACAAAAACCAAAAGCAGGGAGACCATTTGTGGGACACAGTACCTCAAAATGGCATCCTATAACTCTCATATTCATCATTCATATATGATTGTGATATTTCATAACTATGTATGCCATGCAAGGTATTATATGAAGCCATGAAATCTGTTGTTCTGTCTAGGGTGAAGGGTAATGAAGGGAATGCATTGCCTTCCCAAAAAGACTGGGGTTGCCTCACCCAGTATCCAACCAGAGAGTGCAAGGCTGGGGCCACAGCATAGCTGCCTGGTGCTCTGATCTTTGGAGCACAGCTAGGGCCATGACGTGGAGCCATTCAGCTGTCCAGGAAGGCTGCTCAGGTGGTTGAGGCTCCAGCTACTGGTGGGGCCACTCTGGGGACCAGAGTGGGGGGGAGGAACTGGTGCTGCACAATTGCCCAGCATTGTGGGGAGAGGCGCTAGCCTTGAGCAGAGGCCAATGGTCATAATGGGGGAACTAGGGATGCAGGACAGGGTATAATGAGCTGTAGTAGGCATAGAAAGGATGGCCTTGCCTCTGCAAGCCAGTTGTTCACTCATGGCACATGGTTCTGTCCAAATATGTATATCATTAGCCTCTATGAAGCTATATTTTGCTATATGGCTGTTACTGAAATATGCTGTCAGTTTGAGAGTCTCTACTACAAGGGTGGTGATCTAAGGATTAAGCAACCATTAAATAGCAGGAGAGTTGTAATCAAGGAATTTATAATCAATGACAGTTGTACAAAATCACAATGGAGTCTTCTCAATCCAGTGTACGGTTGACAGGTGTCCGGTATTGACCCAGACAGTCCGGCATTTTCACCTCCTGTCCAGTAAACATTTTAAAAAATACCTGACACCTAAAATGTCCGGTATTTTCTGATTTTTTTCCCAGACAGAAGGCAAAAATACTGGACTGTCCAGGTCAATACCGGACACTTGGCAACCCTACACACACTCAGCAACCAGGCCCAGCTCCCTCCCCCCCAGTCCTCGCCTCCAGGGGCAGATGACTGTTTTGCGGGGCCCCGGGCAGCATAATTCCGTGGGGCCCCCCCTTTGCCACGTTCGCCCTGCCCTATATCCGTCCTGCTCCCCTCCCCCGCTTACCTGGTTCTGCAGGGGAGCTGTCTGGCCCAGAGCAGGGAGACAAGATGGCCGCCAGCTGCCTGTTAGGAGAAGCAGAGCCCAGCCTGTTCTTAAAGGGGCCATGCTGTTTTCTTTTATTTTTTTAGCTTAATTCTCTGGGTCATTTTTTTTCCCCCTTCAACAACTTTGGTCTCTCCCCTTTTTTTTTCTCAACACAATTTTTTCCCCTGTAGTTTTTTTTTGGGGGGGCAGGAGATCGGTATTTTTGGTTAAACCATCTGGCTACCCTAATCCAGTGACTTAGAAAAACTCACTAGGAGATGTGTGGGCATGTGTCTTCTATACACATAAACTAAAAATAAAAAAGAGGGGAGAGTGGCATCATGCTATTGCCTTTCTTTCCTCCCCTTTTTCCCCACACTCTGGAAGCAGCATAAATGCTAAGAAAATGAAGACCAACTGAGGAGATTGGTCCAGGCTTAAAGAAGAAGCCTGTGTATTAAGAACAATAACATCCACTTGGGTAAGAAAACTGCTTAATATAAATACTGCTTACAGTAATAAAGTTTAAGATTTAGCTAGTTACTACAGAAAATAAAAATACACAATCCCTGACATTTTATCCATGCCACTCATAGAATCATAGAGCTGTAAGAGACCTCAGGAGGTCACCAAGTCCAGCCCCTCCCCAAGGCAGGACCAATCCCAACTAAAACAACCCAGCCAGGGCTTTGTCAAGCCGAGACTTAAAAACCTCTAGGGATGGAGATTCCACCACCTCCCTAGGTAACCCATTCCAGTACTTCACCACCCTCCTAGAGAAATAGTTTTTCCTAATATCCAACGTAGACCTCCCCCACTGTAACTTGAGACCATTGCTCCTTGTTCTGCCATCCGTCACTACTGTAAACAGTCTTTCTCCATCCTCTTTGGAACCTCCCATCAGAAAATTGAAGACTGCTATCAAATCTCCCCTCACTCTTTTCTTCTGCAAACTAAAAAAACCCAAATCCCTCAGAGTATGTCTACACAGTAAAGTTATTTCGAAATAACTTTTCTAGCGTCTACACAAGCTTATTTTAAATTGGTAAACCTCATTCTACGAGGAATAGTGCCTATTTTGAAATAGCTATTTTGAAATAGGCACTGTGTAGACAGAGCATAGGGGCTATTTCGAAATAGGGGGCCTCCAGCCCTTCCCAGGGTACCCTGGTGGCCACTCTGGGCACAAACAGGAAAACTCTTCTCTCCCTCCTTCTACTGGAGCCCTTAAAGTGGTAGAGTATGGCCACAGTCTTTTGTGGCTAGCACCAGGCCTGGCAGCCCAGAACCACTCTGCTGCTGCCCCGACCCAGGCTGCAGTATGAGCCAACAAGCCACTGGCAGCCAGCCCTCCACCGCTCCCCAGGACCAATCTACCGGCTCCCAGGAGCCTGCCAGGGGCCGGAGAAGGCAGGTGCCTTCATGGTCCAGTGCGGCGATCATGCACCAGATTGAGGTTTGGGGGAATGCCGCCAACATCCATTATCTCTGCACTAGACAGAGGAATGCAGCCGTCTACAGCCTGTCCACCAAAGGCCACATCCAAACCCAGGAGCAGCCAGTCCCAGCGGACCTGTGACCGGTGTCGTCCAAAGCTGGTGAGGCACCAACATGTGAGTACCATCACTGTCCTCTTATGCGGGGGAGGGAGACCAGGGACTGTGCGCATGGGCCTTGCTGACCATGGATCATGCAGCAATCTGTGAATGTGCGAGCACATGCTGTGCCGCCCCTGGGCATATGGCCCCAGCGGGCTGCCACACAGGGGCCTTGGCCTGTTAGCCACACACGTGTGTGACGAGACAAGACATGCTCCTGAACCTGGGGTGGGACACAGAAGGATTCCATCCCTCCACAAGCCCCCTCTACACAGAGGCAAGGGACATCTCTCTCTCTCTCACACACACGCGTGCGCGCGCAGTCTCAGGGCAGCTCCCATTCCTGGGGATAGCAGAACATCCCGAACATGGCCTGTGTGCAAGCACATCGGCTCTGATGGTGAGGAGAACTGTCGTCCTCGCTTGCAGAGGGGCTTCACCCACTGTGTCCCCAGGGATAACTGACCACTTCTCTTGTTTCTCCACAGCCGCACCAGCTGTGAGTGCAGGGCACGGCACCCTGCCCAGAACATCCTCCTGCACCTGAGCACTCTGCAGGCTGACTTGTGCACAAGAAGACTACAAGCTGCAGCATGCATATGCCAGGGCCACAGGGGGTAGCTCCCAACCAGGGGCAGACCTAGACCCCGCCCCTATTTTGATGCTGTGGACTGCATCCTGGGCAGGCAGGACGGTCCATGCCCCCAAGGTGGTCATTGACCCTGGGCCAGAGCTTGCTGCCTCCTCTTGCTCCAGCCCCTGCTGCCTCCCCAGCTACCGATCTTCCCCCCATTCCTTCTCCCCCTCCTGCTTCTCCCTCCACACCCTTCATCCCCTCCCCACCTCTCGGGGGATGCCAAGGCACCTGCACCCGCGGTGCTGGGAGACAGTTGGGCTGGCGAGACCCCCAACCCTGAACCCTGAGCTTTTTCCGCCCGCACCCGAGGACTCCACAGACCCATCTGTGCAGTGGACGGGTACCAACAGGAGCACCTGGGGCACTGCGAGCTCTGCA